CACGGCCTTTCAAAAACGTGTTCGACCGAACTTCTGAATCCCGCCACTAATTCTAACACATCCCAAATAATCTATCAATCGTATATCGATTCAGAACGAAAGCTTCGATGTAGTTCAATTTATTCAAATGGGTCTCTTTTTATTTATGATTCATTCCGCTAGGATTGAGCAAAGACTAAGTGGAGCTATCCTAATTTCAACGTACTCTTTTTTCATACAACTTGGACTTTGTAGGTGAGGAAAAAAAGTATCGGGAGTAAAATACATATGGATCGTTTTGGACTAATTGCTCTGAAATTTTCAGTGGTTAAAAATTGTTGTTGTCGCTATAAGGCTATTACTTTTATTTTTTTCAAAATTCCTGAGGGCTCTGAAGGATTCGTTTTCCTATCTGAAGTTCTGTGTCATGACCTCAACAAAATTAATTGTAGCGGTTCCACGACCGCATGTGTATTGACGACAGCGGCTCAGAGAAATGCGCGGCAGGTCTCGTTCTTGAGGAATGTCGGAAGTTATTTCTTGGATAAAGGTATACTACGGTATTTGGTATTTCAATTCACGTAAAAACTGGGAGCATGAATAATCGTCATCGGACTGTAAAAGCTAGAACAGTCCGGTAACATTACCCTGATGCAGGTACTGATAAGTAACCGTAGCTTTTGAATTCTGGTATGCACGTCAAACGATTTCATACTGTGGCTACAATATCACAGAAAAAATATTATGGGGATCGGTATTTTGAAAGGTACGATTTGCTTGAGGATGTTTTATAAGGTATCACTGCTGTGATATAGAGAAAAAAATCCTTTCCTGCGTTGGACTTGCTTTCAGTGGAAAATCTTCATTTTTTTCTGCTATCTGAAATTGTACATATAAAGTTGATGTAAATTACTATCGTGATTGTTCTTGCGTCCATCATTCGGTATTCATAATGTAATATTCCGTTGGAGATTAAAAAAGATTTACGATTAAAAAATACCAGCAAGAATTTCGGCTTCAACTTAGACATAGAATGAGCGGACTTTTTGTAACCTATTTTAGTCAAATAACGTAATTGTCAAGACCTTTTAGCCTTTTGTCGCTAGCGGGCCAAAATAAGGGTTGCAAGTCATTGGCGGCCGCGCATATTTTTAGAAAGTTGAAAACCGGACGGATGATACTTTTTATAATAAAAATGAAGCAGTGATACATCTCTCGAATAGAATATATATTTATTTCCTCATTGCATTGCATTTTTGGCGCAATTGAACCCTTCGCACTTAGCATCAACTTTTCTGCGTTTTGTTGCCATTTGTCTAATTATAATTAAATTATAGGCTCATTAAACGAGTAATTGTGATGCAGGTACTACTTGTTAGATTATAATAAAATTTAGCGTCTCACAATGAACTGTATTACGTGAAAAATATAATCGTCAAAACAGCTGTTTTGGTACTATAATGCAGTGGAGCGTCGCGGGACGGATTATGATACTCCGCGTTCCGGATCCGGCCCGGCTGACCCCTGCTGTATAGTTTAGTACTTATTATACTTGCTATAACAGATTTTTCTATATTTTAAAATATGTTAAATTCACGATAGATGGTACATTCGATAGTATGTAGCCTATATTAAATAGATTGTCAGAAAAATCAACTACTCTTCGTCGCAACTGAAATAATTCATTGGAAAGTAATTCCCTATTAAACAATTGTCACTTTGAGTTGAAATAAATGTCTTTTGAAAAGTGCCTTTTTTATGCTATCTATGGTATACAGACCTTCAAAACCACAGGAGTGATCTTTTTTACTTCAAAGTTTAGTGTTGACGTCATCAAAATTAATGATCGCGCCCATTGCCAATATATTTTATTTGCCATGGTTCCGCGATCACATCTTGGTGAGCTGGTAGAAAGTGTACCGGTATTGCAAAAGATTTGATACTACTCCGTGTATTTGAGCATTGTATTTTCAGAGTAATTGGTATCTTAGGTCAGGGGTTCTCAAACTTTTGGCGTTGCGGAGCCCTTGAAAAGGTTGACTATTGTTCACGGAGCCCCAAAATAAATGTTAAAATTGTTATTTTCCGATTAATATTCCTGAGTAAGTTGAACGTACTTTACTCAATTTAAATACTAAACACTTTTAATAGGGTTATTACAAGTCATAAATAAATCTCGTGGGGAATTATGAGTTCAATGTGAAAAACATGTTACCATATTATAATCATCGGCGACGAAATGCTAAAAATAATAGTTAATAAAGAGGTAAATCCGCAATTCAAATTTCTTGATTAAAAAGCGGCATTCTAAAATATTAGAACTAAAACTTAAAATGGGAGATAACACTATAAGTTTTGTTTCAGCAGACTCACGTCAGAATAAAAACGCTGTTATAGACGTAAATCATAAAATTTAGTGTTATGTTAGGTTTTCGGTTATTCATCGTAGTAACTGCGAAATTGAAACACAGTCAATTAATTATGCGCGCGATGAACCATTTTTCCTTTCTGAAACTACCGACAGAGCCGCATGCACTAAAATAAATTTCAATCGTTCGTATTTTGCCAAGACCTTGTGATTTTTCAAACGGCGACATCTTGCTTAAAAATAATCTCGAGTGCGAAAGAACAAATCAAGTTTAACAAATCCCAAGATCGCAAAAATACGACTCCAATTTATTTATAGTTAGCAGTTTATCACGTAGTTTATGTTATTTTAGAATAGTACTTTATCATTTTAGTAATCCTAATAGTAATTTCGAATCGAACGTGAGTAACGATGCGCACAATTAAATTATTACGACAAGACACTTCAGATGCTCGCATCGGTCATGAATTGAATATTTTACGCAACAGAAATCTCGTTATCCGTTTTTTTGAAATGCCAAGAATGTTGCGCGTAAATTTCCGATTCCAATTTTGAACCTCCTCCCTCTTAAGAATCCTGGCTGCGCTCCTGCTTATAAAAATAATGTCATTTTTTAATTCCGCCCCTTTGCCATATTTCGAGGCTATATTGTTGTCAAATTTCATCAAAGCTGTTATTGCTTCTAGGAACAGTTTTAAATTAGCCAAGTCAGTATTTTGAAAAGTAATCGAATAGCTCGCGGAGCCCCTGGGTTACTCTCGCGGAGCCCTGGGGCTTCGTACGGAGCACTTAACCTATGTCTTAGGTCACGTCATAACATATGGACATTGCAGTTACGTGAAGGAGTGCAGCGAGGAGTGCAGCAATCCCCTCGCACACATAATTATCCCCATAGTTTTGTTTCATTCGCTACGAGAACATGACGTCATAGAGTAATGTGGCAACTGGCAACCACTATTGTGGCGGGAAGCGAATATTTGCTCACGATCTATTTCTAAGGATTTCATTCCGGATCGAAATTTTGGAGACGTTAATTTTTGCCCATTCTCAACCACGGATTTGTCACTCTCGCTCTTACAAATTTTGCGTTGATTAGTAGGAATGAACGTTGATTTTGCGCAACCGAACTAGAAAACTAGAACCGAACATTCTAGAACAGTGGTTCTCAACTTTTTGGGCCGCGCCCTCATTTAGGAATTTGTCAAGTCTCGCGCCCCACCTCAAAAATAACAAGTTAACAATAAGCTACAAATAACAGATATATATATAGTTAAACGAAAGTAGGCTATGTTTTATTCAACGAACACGTTAGAATACGTAGATGAAATGTGGGTACTCCCGCAGTATGTGTACCAGGTTAGGGTTAGGCCATAATTTTATTCCGATTTTCCTCACTTTAGTTCTATTTAAGTTATGGGGCTGTCTGTGTTAGCCAAGTGAATACCTTCCTGCTCATAAGTTTCAGTCCCTTTACACAACTTTACACAACGAAATAGGGCGGGCAAGATCAAATCCAACAAATATTTTTATTTTTAATTAGCTCCACGCCCGTCGTTTGATAACCGCTGTTCTAGTAAATGCGCGGATTGTAAATATCAGAGTAAGTAGAACTGAGCGTTGATTGGTAAAACAAAGGTTAAATATAAAACGTGCGGGGTAAAAGTCATCAAAATAAGTGGACACAAGGATTGATCATTGAGGTGTGGGCTTGATTGGTAGAACGGAATATTCTAGAAAAAGGGCGTGGTAATAGTCACCAGACAAAGTAGGAACGAGCGTTGATTTTAAGATTCTAAAAAAACGCGCGAGGTAAAAGTCATCAGAAAAAGCAGGATCGGGCGTTGATTGGTGGAGCCGAAATTTAACGAAACGCGGGATAGTAATCAACTCGGTAATCAACGCTGCCTCGACCTGAGTCGTGTTAGTAAGCTTGCCGTTCGCGTGTCATCAAGATGTCAAGATGCTACGTTTCTATTTTGTTTACAGGGCTATTCTATGGCAGTCGCGGACATGTGATGGGTCAGTATTGAATGTAACCTAAAGTTCTGAAAGAAGAATGGAATTTTGACTAACGATGTAGTTACCGGTATAGGTTCTATTTTTCGGCATTTTAGGAACTCCTGCTTGTTTAAATCAGTATGTTCCCCTGCTTTTTCTTATTTTAGAGGGTGTTTCGAAATTTAAGGGGTGGTAGATATTTTGTTATTAGTGATAAAATAACAAGATATCTACCGCCCCCTAAATTTCAGAGTTGAATTTTGAGCGCGCGCGTTGTTTTTTCAACTAAGAGTGTAGTTACCGGTATAGGTGCTATTTTTCGACATGTTGAGAACCCTGACTGATTGAATCAGTGTGTTCCCCTGTTTTTATTTTAGAAGGTGTTTCTTATGTAACTCATAAGAAAGCCTTTAACGTATAATTTTCACCGGCATATGATCCAATTTCTGAATATTCGAATGCATTTTTAAACACGCAAAAAATTAAAGTATGGTTTCACACCAGAAAGTTAGGGGGCGGGCGGGAGAGGTGTATGGAAATCACTGGTTTGAATCTTGTTGAGTTTTATCTTTTTTCCCGTTTCTGTTACCTTGGTAAAGTGCGAATATTAATCAGTTTAATTATTATTCCAGTTAATATAAACCATACTAGGCTATTTACATAAATACCTTGCTGCAAACCCGTCGGTATTTGAAGAGGTTGACTATTAAAAATGCAATCGTCTCACTGGCATCAGTTAAAGAACTTTCAGGTTAGTACTTTTTGGTTTATTTTACCCTACTGTACGCACACCGTGCTGCGCTTTAGGAATACAACCCAGCTGCAACAGCCTGACTCGAATGCTTCAATTTCGCGGGTGGGTTTTGTCGGCGCTCCAGAAATATGTGTACCAATATAATTGTAACTAATTTTGTTCGTCCATTTAACATCAAGTGATGTAAAGGAACTGAAGCTTATGAGAAGGGGATATATTCACTTGGCTAACACCGACCATACCGTGGTACCCATACTTCGGTACTACCGTCTTGCACCGGCGGGTTCTGTAGTTAGCGCCAATATATGGGGCTTATAATTGGTTTTACTGTTCTCTGGTGAAATCAGAAAATCTTACAAATAATATATATCAGCAAATTGCAGAAATTCATTTTCAATTCAAATTCTCGTTTGCAGCTCACCGGCAATCCGAAAAAATAATTGGTACTTCTGAAGTATGGCTGCCAAGATGGCGGACAGCGGAACGTAGTGTGTGTACCAGGATAGGGTTATATCATAATTTTAGGTACTAATACTACAATATAATCAATTGACTAGTCTCGAAATTGTATTAGTACTAAAATAAAGAAAACTGGAACAAGGTAATAGGCGAACCCTAACCTGGTACACATACTATGTTCCGGTGCCGCTATCTTGCTTCACATACTTCAGGAGTACCAAAAATTATATGGCATTTTCGGCGCCACGAGCAAAGTAGATGATTATTAAATGATTGATAACTCAGTACGTCAGTAGTAAGTCTACTTATTGCTGCTCATGCTGATATTGTTTGGGAAAAAATTCTCGCGCCAGAAGTATGTGTACCAATATGGAGGTAACTAATTTTGTTCGTTTACACAACATCAAGTTGTTCAAAGAGAACCTATTGGCATCTGCCTAGCACAGATAGTCCCCGAACTCGAAAATAGTTGAAATTGGAATTGAAAAAATAAATGGGATAAAATTATGACCTAACCCTAACCTGGTACACATGCTACGGGAGTAGCAGAAATCGACTAAAAATTGCACCAACAAAGGAGAAAATGTTTTTTCCGCAAATGCATTGCATTCAAATGACAAACATGAAATTATTATTCTATTGCCATTTTACAGGTTCAAGAAAATTTCCTCACAATCAAGTTTCCAAGAAGACCGGCCACGGACATCAACCAAGTGAGATGAGATACAACAATAAATAATTTTCACCTGCGTCAAATAATCGTTCATTCAAGGCGGTAAAGTTACTAAAACGTGAGAACAATATTTTTAATTTGGTGCTTCTAGGCTATTTCTCGGAACGAGGATTTTAATAATACCCACCTAATGAGTCGTTAAAGTTTATAACCGACCTTGTTCGTACGTTTTCCAGTCTTGCTAGGCAAGGCACAGCAGTTGTCAGATTATATTTTTACCCTTAAAAGCAAATTTAAATTTCCGAATGTCATATGCAGTGTTATCATTTTTATCCCAGGCCAACAGAACCTATAATTTCGCTTGTAGTTTTGTGTGCTCCTTGCGCAAACACTTCTCCGCTTAGACTTTATACATTGGAAACCTAATAAAAATTTCCGAATATCATACTTAGAGCTCTCATGTTTTTTTTAGTCTCGGGCCAACTGAACTCATAATTTCGCTTGTCGTTTTGTGTTCCTTGCACCAACAATTCTTCGCTTAGCTTTTTACACTGGAAATCATATATAAATTTCCGAATATCATTCTCAGTGTTCCCATGTTTTTTCTTCATCTCAGGACCAACTGAACTTTATTAGTTATACCAGTAGGCAGTAATAACTAAACTCTTAAATGTTTCACAGGAGAAGAGAAAGATTCACAGTTCGTACGGCAAGCTGAAAACTGATTTGTAATTCATCTGCCGCATGTTTATTTTACCCGAAGATCTCAAATACGTCATCGACTTGGAAAAGGTATATTGAAACTATTTGTCGTTTTAGATTACCTATTGCTGCTAAATCAGATATTGTTTTAAAAAATACGGCGCTCCAGAAGTGTGGGTACCAATATGGAGGTAACTATTTTGTTCGCGTTTTTTACATCAAGTTATGTAGAGTAACTAAAACCTATGGGCAAAAGGTAACACAGACAGCCCCCGAACTCGTAACAAAACTAAAATATGGAAAATTGGAATAAAATTATGACCTAACCCTAACCTGGTACACATACTACGAGAGTAGCAGAAATCGGCTAAAAAATTGTACCAACAATGGAGAAAAATATTTTTTCCACAAATGCCATGCATTCAAACAACAAACATGAAATTATTATTTCATTGCCATTCTACAGGTTCGAAAAAAATTCAAATTATTCGTGTGTTTGAGAAGACCGGCCACGACATCAACCGACTAAGGTGAGAAACGAGAATATCGGTTGGAAACCGAAGACTTATCGATCGATAGTTAGGGGATCCCCCAAAACAGAAACTGCAGTTTCGATTCATCCGCTCTTGTAACTTGCGCACTGCGCATCGCACACACACACTCGGCGGGTTTCAAAATTCTCTCGCTTTACAAAAATCTAGATCACTATATCAATAATTGATTGATAACTCGCTAATTATACGACATAATTCGCCCAAAATCAATAGGCTTCTGGTCCGAGATAAGATGAATGCACATGCAAAATCTGGAGCAGATTCAATCTCGCTTTCGTGAGATATCGCGTGCATCTAACAGACACACAGACAGACAAATACCTATCAATATACTTACCGATCTTAAGATCGATAAGTAACAACAATAAATATCTAACTACGCCAAATAATATTCCTTCATTCAATTCAGTATATATTCTAAACACAGAGAATTTAAGGAGGAGGAAGGGTGCACACAATGCCAGGCGCAAAGCTGGCTTTATTATTTAATCTGCTAATGAAGGTAACACTATACATACCACTGCAACAGACTGCCCAAGTGCTAAAAGCCTTCGAAATTGGGCCCACGACCCACAGAAGGCTGGGAACTCTGATCTAGGCTATTCCTCAAAACAAAGATTTTAAAAACACCCATATAACAACAGGTAATGAGTCCCTATAGATCAGAGGGGAGCAAGGTTTTTGAACCTGGGGCAAAACATTTTATGAAAACCTTGAACCTGGGGCAAAACATTTTATGAACAATATTAACAGTGTTATAAAGCAAAGATGGAAAACAATAAGTTTCGTGCCCAAATTAAATGTTATCGCAATATTAACAAATTCCTTGCGTTATTCTTAGCTAAAACTTCAAAATTCGATTTCGGTTTGGTTGTGTCAGGCGTCCCAAATTGAGGTACCCAACGGGCCTGATTTTACCCACGGGCCGTACTTTGCAGTTGTTTGATTGCCTTGAATTTTTACCCTGAAAAACGAATATAAATTTCCAAATATCATACTTAGTGTTCTCATTTTTATTTTATCCCAGGCGAACTGGACGTTTCATTTAAGTTCGTTGTACAAATACTTCTCAATCAATGTAGAATCAGAGCCATCGGGCGAAAAGCAAAGGGCGCGAACATGGAAGATAGGACAATACGCTTCGCTAGAGAATTCTTCACTTGTGTGGTACTACAAATTTCGTTTTTAATGATAATCTGCTCTTTATGGGCGTTTATATGATTCATATATTAATCAGCATAAATAAATTGCTGATTAGACGTTTATTTAACATCATACGGATGTATCGATCCACACAGTAATAATTTCGTGGATTTCTTACGATTAATATTTGAAATAGGAAAACTAACCATATTTTTTTCAGTAATGCCGAAACCTTTCGATAATTATTATTACAATGTGATATCTTTGTTGCTCCTTTGACCGACCAAATTAAAGAAGGGTTTCGGTTAGGCTGCACTGAAGTATGTATTGTTAGTTAGATAGCGCGTTAGGTTTTTTATTTTTTATTCTGGAGATAAAACTTCAAAGTCTCCTAAATTAAACCGGTCACATGGAGCACATATTTGAATGAGACTTGAGCTTTTCCCCTTTTCATATTAGGCCATAGTACGGGGTCTCGCAAATTGTGAGACGAAGCAGACGAAAGATTTCGGAAGGTACAATAGATCCTCTCTGGTGCAATAAATGGCAATTAGAGGACTTGTTTGAAAAAATTCAAATCATTTGTTTGAATTATTTCGATATTCGGATTTATTTGAAAATCATTGGCCACTATTGCACTTAAAGAGGTGAAGTCTTGGTTTAATATTGAACGAGTTTTCTAACCCAGATTCAATATTGCCAAGCCCAGTATAACTAAGCTTCTGGTAAGGTAGTTAGACTAGGGCGAATAGTAGTTGGTGACTTAAGCATTGTGGCACATAAGATTGTATTATGCAGTTAAACCCCTAAACCAAGAGAAAACGATGATCTAAAACTGAAGTTTAACATATTACGATTAGGTCAACTGTGCGCCAATGCAAAGTTGTCTGCTATTCCCTCTAGGTCCCAGGCAATTTAGGGTTTTTAGGCCGGTCAGCCTTGAGTTTATATATGGGTTTAGTACGGCAGTCATAAACAAACTAATAAATTGCAATATTTGGGTTCGTGTTTATGATTGCAGACGCCCGCGCTTCGATCTAGATCAGGGGTGTCAAACATGCGGCCCGCGGGCCGCATGCGGCCCCAGTGAACTTCCAATGCGGCCCTCGAACGCTTAACAATAATTGTAATATTTTGGAAGTTTTTTTTTTCATCTAATTGATTATTCACACAAAAAAAGGACAATTTACAGAAAGTAGTTTTGAAAAATTAATTTTTTTGTTTGTTTTCAATTTGACCCAATTATGGATACACTTCAAGCTAGCAAAAAAGAACACGAAGAAAGTGGCATTTTCAAAAATGGGGGTTGCAATATTTCTGTATTTCTTAAAATTCTACAGCACATTGTTCAATTTAGCGCATTTCTATCAGCACAATAAAAGAATACAATATAAGTAGACAATATCAGAATAAGCTCATCAGTCAATATGACAAATTTGAAGATCAACTTGGAATAGAATATTTTTATGTGTTTATATATATATTATTATAATTAAACAACTACCTAGTTACTAAAAGTCAATATATATAAATCATAACCCAAGCGGTCATATGCCACGTGGTGCCACTGGTAGGAAATGTATGGTCCGAAAAATCAGTCATTACTTTTGTTAACAGTATAACCGATAATCATGTGACCCCGTTAATTAGAGTTGGTACTGTAAAATCATTTCAGCCCGATATTAGTAAGCTGGTGGCACAAAAGAAATGCCAAACGTCAGGATATATGTAATGAAAAAAACATTGAGTTTATTCGTTAGTATTTTTGGGGTATATATTTAGATTAAGTCATTTTTATTATGTATTTTTTTTTTTTATCAAATCGTTGTTCAAAAATGTTTCGGGTAGTTGTAAAAAAAACTTGGATTTTTATAATAAATAAATTTGCAATAATAGTAAATTACCAAGAAATTAATATGTAAACGTCATTTGAAATTTCAGAAAATACCAAAACTTTATTCGGTTATTTAATTGCATCCCAATATAGGTCACAAACTACACATATCTAAAAATATGCTATTAAGTTAAGTATACATTATCAAAATATATCAAAAGCTGTTTGCGGCCCTTTGCGCAATTCCCAAAATGCAATGCGGCCCTTGAAAACCCACGAGTTTGACACCCCTGATCTAGATAGCCTAAACCTCTGGTGCGTGCACCATTTAACTAGGATTCACTCAACGTAGCGGAGCGAAATCGCCCGCGCACGTGATGAATACAGATTTGGTTTATAAAAGCTGACCGTAGGCAGGTTAGAATATGTAGGGAACGCTCCGTTCATTGCAATATTAGATCAGGTCGGCGTAAATAGACTTCGTCAAACTAGGGTCAAAAATCGTTCGCTGGGATGTTGAGATGGGTGGTTGGGACGGCCGGATAGATAGGTTTTAGGTAGGGATAGACAAGTGTAAGGGTGAAACTGCATTAATTCAAAATAAAAAAAGGAATCAAACTGCCTAAATTATGTTAAAATAACACGATCTGCTAAGATACAGACGGAACGAAATTTGTGACAAGAGTATAAAACGAGTAAGCGAGATTTGAATATATATACTTACCGACCGCGAGCGCAAAGTTTCAAATGCCATTTTTCAGTCCAATGAGTAGTCAATTAACACACACCAAATCAGGCATTGCGGGTCCCAATTAAAAAAGATTACTCGTATTTTCAGGTGGCAGTCTATCGCTCTGTGATCTGGTTATAGGTCAGCGCTTGCTTCGCTGATCCAGATATTCACCCCACGGCAGATGACCAACGTGGGCCATGGGTACCGGTTTGCTCAATTCAATTAAAATACATATTGTACAATTGCAAAACACTCAAAGATAAAACTGCCATTCTACGGCTGCTTGATTAGAGATAAATATTTTCTTTTTCCTCCGTCCAGAACGTACCTGAAATAAAAATAATGATTTGAAATGGTGTTTAAAAATATTTTAACGTTTTAACGTTAAAGACTACAACACCACATTCTTGGGATTGAATATCACTTCGACAAAGTTTCCAAGCTCCAATTTCCTTCATTTTGGGGTTTCTGTAGTCCACAGCTCGAGTTTCTCTTTCGTTATATGGATCTTCCAGTGACGACACACATTTGATAAGCGGATGTCACACATTCGCGGGATTCAAACTTTGGTCACCGTGAACAAATTAATGGTATATCAACCGCATTTACCAACTAGGCCAATGAGGAACGTGGGGGCAAAATATAAGTTCCAATATTTATCATTCATCTTAAATGACTTCATAATTTTTTTTTTAACAAGTCCCTTTGAGATGATACGTAAATATTAGACTTTAGACTTTGTTTTTAAGATCTTAAATGTTTTTAAGATCTTAAATGGCCTAGTGGGTAAAGGCGCTGAGTCGACCATAAATTTGTTCACGGTGACTAAAGTTTGAATCCCGCGAATGTAACATCCGCTTATAAAATGTGCGTCGTCACTGGAAAATCTATATAACGAAAGAAAAACTCGAGCTGTGGACTACAGAAACCACAAACAAAATAAGATAAAATGAAGGAAATCGAAGGGTCACACCTTGGAAAATGAAGAATTTTGAAATTTTCGTTCATGCCATGTATTATCAGCAATTATATTCGAATTATCTATGGCCTATGATCGGCCAGAGATAATAAAAATCGCGTCGTTTGGGCCCGCATCAGGCGCCAGCGCGCCATATAAAATCGCGATCGACAGTGACGCCATAACCTAGTGTGACGTCAGTCATACTATAAAACACAAAATCCCGCCAAAATTACATTTTAAAATACCTCTTAGACCAGGGATGTCCAACCTGCGGCCCGTGGGCCGCATTGCGGCCCACTTAATGTTTGGATGCGGCCCACTAACGAATCATTAAAAAATTTTTTTTTAGCAAATTTATGAAGTAATGAGCACGAGAGTCTTCATGTAATTTAGTCAAAATATATTTATTGTAATTTAGTCGAAAAATACTTTATATTTAATAAATAAAATAATTGTAGCGACCAAATTGAAACTCCCGTATGTATTTTTTCTCGCGCTCTGGTGCGCCGCCACCAGCTACTCGCCATGCCGTTCGCAAGTCTTTGTTCTCGACAGTGTTGTTTTGGCTGTGGCGGTGTGCAGACTATATCTCTCAAAAGTAAGTGCTTAATCATTTAAATTTTCTTTATTGTTGAAATAAATGCATTTTCAGTAAACTACGGCTCAGTACACCTATTAATGGTTAATTTCTTTTTCAGAGAACTATAATCTTAAGTAATGAAAATTTTATATTTATATGGCCATGGAATCTATTACTAAAAAAAGGAAAATAGCAGAAGAAAAGAGGAAATTTAATATCCAATGGACGGAAAAATATTTTGTGACCGAGTTATTTGGCAATATAACATGTCTTATATGTAATGATAAGATTAGCGTATGCAAGGAATACAATGTCAGACGTCATTATGTTTCGAAACATGAGTCAGAATATCAGACATTTAATGAAGAAAGAAGAAAAACGAAAATTGAAGAATTGACAAAGGCAATTAGCTCACAACAAGCTAATCTTCAAAAACATATTGTTAAAAGTGGAACATGTACAAAAGTTAGTTACCTTATAGCTGAGAAATTAGCTAAGAAAGGAAAACCTCTTATTGATGGAGAATTAATAAAATAATGCATTGTTATTGCTTTTAATGAGTACTGTCCAGACAAGGTGAATTTAGTAAAGGAAGCATGTCTATCACATCAGACAATTGGCAGAAGAATTGATGACTTGGGTGATAATATTGAAGGCATACTGAAGGACAAATTATCTGCATGCGTTCTTTACAGTTTAGCGTTGGATGAAAGTATTGACCAAAGTGATACTGCACAATTAGTTATTTTCATTAGAGGAATTGATGAAAATTTCAATATTATTGAAGAAATGTTGGACTTGTGTCACATAAAGGGCACAACAAGAGGCAAGGACATATATGAGATTGTTAATTTGTCATTAGATAAATTCAATATTGATAGGAAAAACATTTATTCAATTACAACTGATGGTGCTCCTGCCCTGACTGGTCAACACAATGGTTTTATTAGTTTATTTAAAGAATCTGTTGATCATGAGATTCTCAGTTACCATTGCTTGATACATCAACAACAATTATGTGCTCAAAAGCTAAATATGAAACATTTGATGACTGATCTTGTCAAGGCTGTTAATTTCATCAGATCACGGGGTTTAAATCATCGCGAATTTAAAGCATTCTTGGACGAAGTTGGCAGTGAATATGAAGACGTAGTATATTTCTCAAAAGTTAGATGGCTCAGTAAAGCAGCAACCTTAAAAAGATTTCAGTTATTGTTGCCTGAAATAAAAGTGTTCTTGGAAAAAAAGAAGCAAAATGTGGATTTTTTAGAAAATGAAGAATGGTTGAATGATTTATCTTTCTTTGTAGACATCACCGAAGTATTAGCTGAACTTAATTTGCATTTACAAGGAAAGGACCAATTATGTTCCTCAATGTTTGAGCGAATAACTAGTTTCACAAAGAAATTGGAACTTTTTATAGCACAGCTAAAAGCTGGTAAAATTGTACACTTCCGTAGTCTATCTGAAAGAGAAAAAAGTTTTCTGTAAACTATGAAAAATATACTAAATTATGTGAGGATTTGCTTGGAGAGTTTACGATTAGATTTTCTGACTTTAGAAAGATTGAAATTGAGTTAAAATTGTTTAGTGATCCATTTTCATTTGAATATGATAAAGCACCAGTGGAGTACCAACTTGAACTGATTGAGCTGCAAAGTCGGGAAGGTTTAAAAACTTTTCACAGGGAGAACACACTTCCTTCATTTTATAAGAAATTGCATTCTCTCAAAAATGAATTCAATCAAATTCTAAATTTATCCAGAAAATTATTATGTATGTGGGGAAGTACATACTCTTGCGAGCAGTTTTTTTCAAGCATGAAAAACATTAAAACTGCAGAAAGAAACAGGTTGACTGATAGACATTTAGCAAACATTCTTAGAATTAAGAATGCATCCTTCGATGCAAATATTGAAAACATTATGGCTGTCAAAAGTCTCATTGATTTAATATTGATTAATTAAATTTAATGTGTTTTTTATGTATAGCTACATATAACCATTACAATATTTACAACGTTGTAATAATGTAAATAAACTGTATTCACGTGGTTTTGTTTTATATTGTAATTTTTCCATTAAATTGTATTAAGAGGTGGTTTTGCGGCCCAGTTAAATATTTAAGTTTGCAATGCGGCCCATTGAATTAAAAGGTTGGACATCCCAGACTTAGACCCATGCTTCTAAATCCCATACCTATGCTTCTAAATCCCATATCTTATTTGCCTTTAACAAAACCCAACTGCCGACAACCAACAAGCATGGAGAAGCGGATATTTCTTCAATAATTTCATTATTCTTTTTAAGCAAGAGTAAACAGACGAAAATATAAAGAAAGCGCCTTGGCTTACCTGGGTCAGCTTTCCAAACAAGCCGATTTAAGGCGATCTCCGAAATGAAGGACTACAATAAAAATCTAATCTGGAGAACTCGCCCAAGAAAATTTATCTAATCCCCGAAAATATTAGTAGATTAGAGATATTAATGAAAATGCAGGGACAGATTGTTTAAAAAGAGCAACATTGAGATATTAAGCTTTTCTGCCATGATCAGACGCGAAATGAAGAATTGTGAATTTCTGGGCGATACCTGGGCTCCGTGGCATATTTAGGCACGAGGGCCACTGTGCCTGCCCCCGGCCATGGGCTCCATTTGGATAGGAGGGCACAATGGGCGAAACCTCATTTTGATAACTTACTTTATAGTAATAACTTGAAAAGTATTCCAAAGCAACAAACAGTCGTTAAAAATTTCAGTAAACGATCACGGGGGCGCATTTTAAACTTCACGCAGATACGTCACTACTGGGGCAGGCTTTGATATCCGACAAACCATGGTAAAGGACTATCACAAGCCATTTATTTCTGTCGCCGTGTTGTCAGTATCTTCTTTGACCTTTCAATCCAGAACGCAACTGAAATAATATAAGAATAGATTCAACGCAGGACAGGACACTGCAGATGAGAAGTAGATTTTGATTAAATTCGTTTAACTTATATAACAAGAGAGCAATGCTCAAATATATGGACATCAAAGCCAACACGAAGAAGTAAGGGTATGCAATCTATCACAGTAGACTACCGGTACCGTTTGACCACTAGATTGTTAACGCTCAAACGAAACCCTCACAATGTGCAACTTCAATTTTGGAGATGTGACGGCATATAATTTTGATGACGTCAACGGCATTGCATAAATGCAATTCCAAGCAATTGGTACAACAACAACCTAATGACAAGACGATACGTATGTCCATTTCGTGTCAATAACATCATAAATAGCGATTTCGGACTCCAGACCAGGCGACTTGAGTAGTTCATCTGTTGGCTTGTGTACTCGGAGGCCGGAGCTGCATATGGCAACAGTATCTATATCTATAGTTATTTCCGTGGGTACAGAATATAATATTTAGAAGCCGCAATAGACGAGAAAAAAAAATGCGATTTTGTTTATTGGAATATTATTCACCAATATTGACCAATATCACTGCATCGAGTCAATGACGGGACTTCGGACTCCCATTTATCAGTCTCTAAATGGAATAATAAATTGTGGACTCGTCATAATCTATCCACCAGGCGCCATTAACTGAATCGGATGATGACATATTGGTTTTAGTACCTCGCCCAACAATGGCAAAATTGCATCAACCCTACAGGTACACAAGAGCTGATCAAAGGAAACGATCACATCGGTAGAAGACCATTTCAATTTAAATATCATAGCGGATTCCATTGTCGTCTACACACAATAATAAAAATACTTACAGACAGACAGATGGTTTGTGAGATCCCTTGTCGCTTCAATCAGCTTGTTCCGTAATCCGGACAGAACCTGCATGATAAATTAAAGTTAGATATCGGAATTCAATAGGAATAGTTGCTGATCGTAAGAGTAGTGGGGATCATTCCACAAGAGGGGCGTAGACAATTTTCTTAGGAGGGTGCGTTAAGCTAATTAAAAATATAAATATTTGTTAGATTCGATCTCGCCCGCCTTATTTTGGATATTTACGTCCTATCCACGTATTTTCATCGTGTTTTTGAATAAAACATAATTTTGCCTTCCTATTTGTTATAGTTATGGTTGAGGTGGGGCGCGAGACAAACTATAAAAGAGGGGCGCGGATCAAAAAGTTTGCGAACCACTGATGTGAAACTCTGAGTAATTACCTAAACTTATCTCAATTGAGTTTATACAATTCCTCAAATCCATCTTGTGGATTAGTTATGAAATAAAACGGATTCAGAGTCTGGGTTAAACTTAGCCCATGGAGTGAATTTGGTCTAAAATTGAGGGTATATTGGCGATCAGGAAATTCTACAGTCAAAAATTTACTTCAATCCAACAAGAATACAAAGCGAGAGAAAGCAACGCTGGCAAGTGTACTTCAGTGTGAGTTTATTTGGACAAGTCATAGCGGAACGCTTTCATATGTTGACATATGGTACTTTAGTTTCAATACAAGCTATGATCAACAAGTATTGTCATAAAATCGGTCATCGCGGTCTGTTACGCTCTCACTACGAAGAGACTTGTTTGCTGGTTGCGATCGTAAAGAAAAAACCTACGTTTTTGACTTCGAACTTTTTTAAGTGGGAAAATATTGGACTGAAATGGAGAATATGTTTTGACAACCTGAAATAAAGCATATATATAAATTGACACACTAAACAAATTAAATTTTGCCACAATGCTCACAAACGCAGATCCAACTTAAACGCACTTGACTAATAACGTGTCCAGAACTGAGTAGCACTAAATATTTTTCATTTCATTATTTTAGGGAAGATATTTCCATATGTGGGTAGTACGATAAATATTTCTCATTTAGCATTATTGTTAAATGATATTTATTCACACAATAATAACTATTCAAGCCCTAAACGCTAGCTTCAAACAGGCAAAGGAGGAAAAAGAAGAACCTATTTGAAGATTGCGAATCCTGAGTCGATGCGCGCACGAGTCTTCAAGAGAGGTTCCGACAACGTGATAAGTCCAAACTAAACTGACATATAAAGCCATGATTTAGTGTGAATATACAACTCTACAGATATATTTATTTCAATAATATATAAATAGTTTATTCCCAACGGACTAATAATCCTTGCATATATTGGCCATACGTCTTTTAGTTACATTTGACAAAGCCTGTTGGAGTCTGATCGGATCATGCTTGTTCGCTTGTTCCGACAGAAACATAGTTCAAGCCATATTTTTTTTATACGTCTTAAGGAATACTTCGGCCTGGAGAGCGGCACATGGTGCGTAGCGTTATGAACTAAATTGCTATGGCACCTCCAAATACTCTTGTAGAGGTTTGAATCATGTGGAGTTGAATTATGTGAATGAAGATTGCTAACTCAAGGTGTTTGGTTATAGCTGCCTCCGCTATCAAGTTTATACAACCCAGAACTGATAATAACCGGTTAAAAAAACCATACCCGACATGGACTGGTAAGAGGACGAAAGACCGTGGGTCTTCACATGATCAAACCGATTTTGGCTTTCTATCCACTGGGATAATATGGAAAGAGTGTTATGGGAAAATTATTACTTACTTCAACAAACTCTTGATTCGTGAGATTCGCTTTCACCCTATTCGCTTATGCTCGTATTCATGGCATAACCTAATAATGAAATACAAGTTAGGAAACTGTTGAGTCCGAAATATTCCACCCAATTAAAAAAACGCTTTAGCGCAGAAATCCCTGCCAAGGTTCATTATTATTTCACTCAACACGTAGACACCCAATGCGTATACGGATAGGATGTTTCGACTCTCAATAAATGATAGCAGTTAATTTCTAGTAGTTTTTAGTTATCATTTATGTTAAAGTTCTCCCTATTTTGGAACTCTTTATTCCTTCCTCACTATGCATGAGAACTACTTTATTTGTTCAGTCTTCAATGGATCGTTTGTTGGAAATTGTAATAACTTACATGTTTGACTCAGACGTAGCGGACGTCCTACATTCATTTCATGATCAGCTTTCAGCTTACAATGAAAAAATTTAAAGACAAATCTCAAACCCCGACAATTTCTGTAACACAAATATCGGATTCTGATTATGCCCGTTGGATATTGTTTTAAAAAAGACGAATTTTAAGTTTCTCTGTTTCTAAACACCTCGGATTCAAAACGTAAAAACATAAGTTTCTTACGAGACGCATCGGAAGACACTAATCTTGCTTCACAAATAAAACGGTTCTTTCTGTTAAATGAATTTAATCGCCAATTTTAAATTTATAAAAATGGAAACCAAAAGATCGTGATTCGTGATATCGTGGTGAACAACGGCAAAAAAGTCTTACAGTAAAGACAATGATTGTGTTGATAAAAACTTACTTTCAGTTAAATTGTTCCGTATGTTAGAATCCAGTTATGCTGAAGATCCATCTCCTATCCACTTCCGTCTGCACATGCATATTAATACAACATAAAATTGAAGGATAATTTAGTTGTGGAGAATTTCGCAATTCCAATTGATATTGAGACATAAAATTGGGTCTGGACTACTTCTTACGGAGCGTGAGTTACTTATTTAGGAGTTTCTTTTTTCTTACTCATTATGTTCGTCAACAAAAAATAATCTCGGTGGTCGATAGAAAAACTACTAGGATAAAATTGGTTTTACAAAATACGAAAGTTACATAAAATGAAATGAATTTAACCGAACTGCAGACGCATAGTCATCAATACCAATCTAATACTTCATACTTGAGTGAATGAACGTTCGTCAACCTCATTTCCTTCAGCAGATCCCGATGCCAACATTTCCAAAATTTGTGGTCCTATTCCACCTCGAATCAATAATTTTAGGCCTAATATTTGTCTAACTGCATTAGTAAACATAACTGTAAAAACATAAAATTGCCTGCAAAGGAATGAGAAGCCTGTAAAGGAAGTCAGGTCATATACTAATTGCCGTTAGAATAAATATTATTGGTTATACAGCCGAAACGTGGATAATTGAAAAACTATTCAAAATGTAAATTTAAATGCGCTCAAAACAAAGGTACGTTTCGCAGCGCAAGAGCCCAGTAGTATAAAACCGTCATATGTAATCGGATTCGTGTTAAGGGTAAAAAAATAAGACAACACAATGACACTGTCGTAATTATAAAACTTTTAAGGTTGTATACCGTATTGCCCGCGCTTGTGCACTTATGGCTGTAAATAAATTAACAGTTACCTAATTACTCCTTGATCGTATCCCGTGAGTCTTCGATTCATAAATTGGACAGCAATCGTTGCATTAATACTATGTTATGGTCTAACTAATATTATTTAGTTTAAATTTAGCTGGTAGTCATGGTAACTTTCGTTTGTTCCACATCAACACGTCAACTTCGTAGACATTAAATCAACAGTTGTAGGCCTAAACCTAGGTCTAACTGCATTAGTAAAGCTTTAAGACTTAGAAAAGCGGCTTTTAAACAAAAAACGTTAGAATATAGATGGAAAAACAAATTAAGAAATGAAACTGCTGTTGACGTCGTCAAACTGACTGACATGATCAAAAAGTTTGATGTAATAAAGAAATTAAAAAAAGCCATCTATCTGCAAAATAAATGACCGTTTAAATGACAAGTAATGTCACCTGTACTATTTCCGGAACATCTCAGCACAACCGCATCTTTGTCGAGGTTCTATTTCAACAATGATGTAGATCTTAACTTCAAAATGGCCCACACATCTTTGCCCGGTCGCATCTTTCCTAGGGTCTTTGATACAACGCAAATACTCTTCGCTACCAATCTGGTGCTATATTATGGCCTAACTGAAATCCCTATTTTAATTTGTATTTTAACCGTAGTTTGTTTCGCCCCATCAGTTCCCGATGTCAACATTCGCAGCTTGTTCATATCCAGTCAGTTTGCATAAACACGGTCTGAAATACATGATATAGCTAAGATACAATATTTAGGCTGAATAAAAGCTTAAAACAAGCTAAAAGCCATAATAGGACAATTCGTAATTATTGAATTCATTTAAATTGTAAATTTGAATAAAAAGTATTTTACTTGTTCTAACTCGAATATTTTCTTTCGATCGCCTTTATTTTTGTTTATGCCGCCGTCTTTGGCTCAACAATTACACACCAATAATCATTTAGTACTATTCTAGGGTCTAACTGAAAGAATGAGTTGATCTCTAATATTCATTGCAGATTCCGATTTAGATTCGCCTCACTAATTTCAGAACTTCTAATCTCTATTCCATTTTGTAGATATTTGAATGAATAATTGCAGGCCTAGGTTTATTGTAACTGCATTGGTATAGCTACAAACGTCTTAAAAAATGTCTGTGAGGTAATACAAAGTTGAATTATAAGAGGAATAGCGACACAACGATGAACTTAAACCATTAAACGCAAAAAATTCACAAAAATAAAATCAGTGCTCACCTGACGGCGTCGAATTCGGAAAGACTGCCTAAGCGCAGACAAATTTTGACGTGGCATGAAAAAAGCGTGATTATAATAAAGAAACAAAGGGTGGAGGAGACCGCAAAATGAAGATGCTTTTTCATTCGTTATTAGGAATCACATGTCTAGGTGACGTAAGAAAGTAGCGAAACAACAAAAAAAAAATGATAGATCATGCTGTTTGTCACATTAACCATTAACTACAGCCATATAAAATTTTTATTAGTTTTATTCTAGACAATATTTAATATGCTACATTATTGAGAAGAAAAATAATTGGCAGAAAGATATTCTACCGACGTTATGGTTTGGACAGCAGGAAAAATCAAGTTGGCCAAACATACAGCGATTATAACAAAATCAGATGATTTTTTTCATATGATGCTTATTCAATACTTGTCGCTTCGAACAAGACCCTATGCAGGCATCAACAGATACCCCACGATATGATATAAGTTACTTTTAATTAGGTTTTAATTTCTGAATCTATTATCGACCCGCCACGTCCTGGTCGATTATAGATTACAACTATTCCTATTCGTTGAAAATATTCGATAAAAAAATGCAATTTTTCTACCCCTAGCAAGGACGAATTTATGGCGGCCATGGCAAAGTTTAAAACGCGCCTCCCTTGATAGTTAGTTGACAATTTAGAATGACTGTTATTTAAATGAGATACATGTACGCTATTATTTGTGTAGAAATCAATGAAGACCCGGAAACCACCCCAAAATTGTCTAATGATCCTCTTTTGGGTTGAGTACCCACGGCATACGAATTATATGCCAGCAGTACCAGTATCACTATTCTTCTCAAGAATAGCATATGCAAAACTAAATTTAAATTTTCTAAATTCGAAAGACTCGTATTTAAACACCGAACAAAAATTGTGAAAATAAAGTTATTTTTAACGAATAGATATTGCACGCTATATTTCAGAATTTTCCATTTCGACTTTATTCTAAGCCTTTTTGTTCGCTGTTCTTCCACACACAATGCTCAAAATATCTTTTTCCCTTCTGAGTTTAAAAAATAAAGGTAAAGTCCGGTTGTTTTCCACAGTTGAATCATAAGCGGCTGCTCTTATGGCTCGAAAAACACTGGCATCCGTTTCACTGAGTTTGAAAGTTTGATCCAACCATTTTTCTGCTACGTCATAAGTAGAAGGGTCCTCGTCATCAGTTTCTAGATAGATGTAAATGATATCAATAATGATATTTAAAGTTGTCACTGAGCACATGGTTTGAATTGTTCTTGAAGGAATGAAATACTCGCTAATAACGCTTGCGATTGCATTTTGTCAAAATAGCCGATTGTTTTTGTCAGCCTGACGTGTTATTTAAGACGTGAACTATTTTATTTCGGTGTTTATTCTACCGAGATCACAAATCTGCTTCGACATAAGTCTTGTGCCATGAGGACGAGGATAATTCCTTTTTTGGTCTCACACGGAACTCTGAGTTATTATATTATATTCATCAGCGACGAGATGCTAAATAGAAATAAAGGGATGAATCCGCAACCTAACTTGTAAAGAATGAAAAGGAGGCAATGTAAAATACTAAAAAAATAAAAGAGAGAAGAAGAGAACCCTATATGTTTTGTTTTAGGATGGTCCGCAATACGATGGGGCAGAGTAGGTGTTGCAGGAACTGATAAGATTTGTTGAATTCAAACAGTATATAATCGGACACCTCATCACACATTTTTATGGTATTTTCTGGGTAGTAATGCTTCAATCTTGTTTCGCAATCGCGGCGACAGTCCGTTGCATGTAAATTTGCGATTCCTATTTCAACCCCCACTTTGAAAAAATCCTGGCTGCGCGCCTGCCAATACTGTATTGGTGTTAGGATTTCCATCCTTAACGGGTATTGTTACCCGGTTTATACACTGTGCTCCACTATATACTTAAATCTTTACATTTATTTTTTTCTTCCTGCATAAAATTTTGGATTGCGAAAAACAATGATAAATCTCTGGAAGTCGCTGTCCTGTGATTAGGGCTGGGCATTTTTGAATATCTTGTGATTTCAGAATCAAATCGAATAATTTTTTCGAATCGAATCTCGAATACTTGGAAATATATAATTGTATGCGACTTTTTTATAGTAATTGGTCCTCTCAACAAATAAATTACTGAATACATCCCTCAGATAGATTGTGGGCGTTCACTCACAATAACAAACACGCTTTAACAATAACACACTACAGAAAATAGTCATATGTTAGAATTGCGTTGAAAAAATAGGACTTCAATGAAAAAAAAAATTGGGGAATTCACCTCGACCATTGGCGGAAACAAAAAAAAAAAGATGGCGGCGATTCGAAATTTAGCTTTGAACCGATTCGAATAATTTACTATTCGATTCGATTCTAATATTCGATTCGAAATGCCCAGTCCTACTTGTGATAAGTCAAAAGCCCGCTGATATTACGGTGCGACTGATACATACATAATTACTCGGATGAATATAAAAACACAAAACCAAACTTTTTAACAAAGCTTTTTGGTGACATCAACTTCGGCGAAAAAGATTTCAACCACCTCACCATCCGTCGGAGGAAATTTCATCCACTTCTTCCTTTTTAGTGTTCGGCCTTTTAGTGACTTCATCCACCTCACCAACCGTCGGAGAAAATTTCATCCACTTCTCCCCTTTAGTGTTCAGTTTTTTAGTGTTTTCAACCACCTCACCACCCGTCGGAAGAAATTTCATCCACTTCTTCCTTTTAGTGTTCAGCTTTTTAGTGTTTTCATCCACCTCACCAACTGTCGGAAGAAATTTCATCCACTTCTTCCTTTTAGTGTTCAGCTTTTTAGTGTTTTCATCCACCTCCCCAACCGTTGGAAGAAATTTCATCCACTTCTTCTTTTTAGTGCTCAGCTTTTTAGTGTTTTCATCCACCTCACCAACCGTCGGAAGAAATTTCCTCCACTTCTTCCTTTTAGTGTTCAGCTTTTTAGTGTTTTCATCCACCTCACCAGCCGTCGGAAGAAATTTCATCCACTTCTTCCTTCTAGTGTTCAGCTTTTTAGTGTTTTCATCCACCTCCCCAACCGTTGGAAGAAATTTCATCCACTTCTTCTTTTTAGTGCTCAGCTTTTTAGTGTTTTCATCCACCTCACCAACCGTCGGAAGAAATTTCCTCCACTTCTTCCTTTTAGTGTTCAGGTTTTTAGTGTTTTCATCCACCTCACCAGCCGTCGGAAGAAATTTCATCCACTTCTTCCTTTTAGTGTTCAGCTTTTTAGTGTTTTCATCCACCTCACCAGCCGTCGGAAGAAATTCTATCCACTCCTTCCTTTTAGTGTTCAGCTTTTTAGTGACTTCAACCTCCTCACCACCCTTTGGAAAAAATTTCATCCACTCCTTCATTTTATTCTTATTTTATTTATGTTATTATATTTATCAACGTAAAGTCAATAACAACACTACAACGATAATACGGTACCCGATTCAAATTTCAGTAAATTCAAAAGATCAGCAGCAGTCGGTCATATAACATACACACGGAAAATTAATAATAGACCTCTAATTAGGTAAGATTTTATCAATGCTAAAAGCAAAAGAAGGAAGCGATTAAAAAATTCCCACTAAATAAGAAAAGTTTCGAGTTCCGTATATATTCTGAATTCATTACATGTAAAACTGAATCAAACGAACATATGTTTTCAACTTATACGAAATATCAATTTTTGGGAACATTTTTCTGGAACAAGAATAATGATAATGTGATTTTGAAATAGATGAGTAACAAGTTTTCGAAAAAACAATTTTTTTTAGTTTTAAATATGAAAGTCAAATAATTGTCCAATTGTGTTACATTTTTCAAGTTTCATCAGGTTAAGAATATTTGAATACAAATTATGGGCGTCAGAGTTAATGTGTAGCAGCTACCAATATTGAAATTGCACATGCACTGTAATATGAGTTATTTTAGGTATCACTGTTATATTAAAATAATAAAAGATCAGAAAAATATTCATTGCACATTCTGTGCACAGTAACTTCCTGGGCATTTTTGGTTATCTAATGATTTCAGAATCGAATGAAATACCGTATTTTTTTTCGAGTTGAATCTTGAATACTTAGGAGATATTTGATTGTACGTAATTTTTATTGTGATGGGTCCTTGAGGCACGTAAATTACTGAAAACATAGATTCCATCACTGTGCGTTCACATATAATGAGAAACATGTCCAAACAATAACTCACTAGGAAGAAAACAGACATACGTCAGAATTTCAAAAATGAGGCTGTGATAAAAATTGAGACATTTATCTTGATATTTGGTGGACATAAACAAAACAAATGGCGACCGGCGATTAGAATTTTTCGTCTAAACCGATTTTAAAAAATTTTAAATCAATTTGGAATGCCCAGCCTTAATAGTAGAGACATTTACTCAATTCAGTTTATATCCATCCAAACAACGTCGAGTATCGAGAAGATGTTCTCTCGCAAGAAAATACTGTTTTCAATTGAGTAGATATTTAAAAAAACAACTATGATGTATAAAGAGATCTTGTTTATCGTAAGAGTTCTATGTCTCGTCAACAAATGTCACGCAAATACTGATACTATAGTATATTTTGATTGTTGGCCAGGATCAATGTTGTCGACGGCAACATGGTAACTTGTCTCGTATGACTTGCCAAATGCTGCGATTTTTCTAAAAAAAAATGCGATTATTATATTCTCATGGAAATTTTTTTCTCAAAATGTAGTTGATCCCTAGACGAGTCGAAATATACGGTGATATAATTGTCGAATATACTCAATAAATCATGACTCGAAAATTGAATATTATTTTTCATATTGAACACGATTCTCTAAATCTTTTTGTAGAGAAGAAAACTAGACAGTTTTGTTACTCACCAGACGATCCACTTCTTGTTCCAATTTCTTTTTCTCGGATCGCTGAAAAAATTAAATTAGTTTTATAGAATATATTTTAAAGCGCCGATTAAAATATGCAACTATTACAAAGACTAATATATCGAGGTGTGTGGTGAAGGCAAAACGAGGATATATCGAAAAAATAACAATGAATTCTATTATTTATCTTTATAATGCTATTTTTGGAGAATATTTTTTTTCTCTCTCACATTTATATTGTAGATATTTTAACAAACATTTGTCTACACTTGATCTGATCCCCCTGCATATGAAGCTTCTAAACGAGTAATATATACATGGCATAGAATTTTTTGAATTAACAAAAGCTACCAATCGTGTGATTTCAGAATCTGCTGAAGTTAATTTGACTCCAAGATCCTGATCTGTGTGATCCCCCTTTGCCATCTGAAAATGAAATGTTGGACAATTGAATCACAATGAACGTTTAGTGTTGGATTGAATTTCATTCCAATGTAATGGCTCATTGGAAATCCAATATTTTAAAAAGTAATCGCATCTTAACTTTCTAAATAATGAATATAACTGAGTCGCGTATAAGGTAGCCTAAGGTATAAAAAATTGTCTTTTTTGGAATGTATTTTTGGAAGACCAGAACTGGTTCGAATGGGTATAATGATTTCTCAAAACAACAGAAAAACGTTAAAGTTTGGTTCAAATAAAAGATATATATCTTTTACTTACCGCTTCATCGCGTTCTTTACTCAATTTTTGACATTGGTTTTCCTGAAAATAAGAACGAAATGAAGAGAAATAGTTTACTTGTGCTCTCTGAAATTCCTTTTCAGTAAGATATCATGAAAAAGATTAGTTGGGTTGTAAAACTTCATTTCGAAATTGTTGGTACATTCTAATCAGTGAGAGGATTCAAAATTTTCAGAACGGGTTCTCTTTTGTAGCCAACTCGCTAAAAGTAATCGCATCTTAACTTTCTAATTAATGAATATAACTGAGTCGCGTATAAGGTAGCCTAAGGTATAAAAAATTGTCTTTTTTGGAATGTATTTTTGGAAGACCATAACTGGTTCGAATGGGTATAATGGTTTATCAAAACAACAGAAAAACGTTAAAGTTTGGTTCAAATAAAAGATATCTTTTACTTACCGCTTCATCGCGTTCTTTACTCAATTTTAGACATTGGTTTTCCTGAAAATAAGAACGAAATGAAGAGAAATAGTACACTTGTGCTCTCTGAAAATCCTTTTCAGTAAGATATCATGAAAAAGATTAGTTGGATGGTAAAACTTCATTTCGAAATTGTTGGTACATTCTAATCAGTGAGAGGATTCAAAATTTTCAGAACGGGTTCTCTTTTGTAGCCAACTCGCCAACAACGGGTTCCTTCGTTTAAATCCCGCCGATGATTCTAACTCATCCTAAATAATAGTATCATTTATCAAGCATATAGCAATTCAAAACTAAATCTTCGATCTAGTTAACTTGCAATTCATTCAAATAAGTTTCTTCTTGTTCATTATCCATTCTACTATTATCGAGCAAAGACCAAGTATAGCAATCCTGGTTTTAACGTACTCTTTTTTCATACAACCTGGACTTTGTAGGTTAGGAATAACAGTATCGGGAATAAAATACGTATGGATCGTTTTGGATCAATTGCTCTGAAATTTTCACTGATTGTTCAAGATTGTTGTTGTCGCTAGAAGGCTATTAGGCTACTTTTATTTATTCCCAAACTTCCTGATGGCACCGGGGGATTCGTTTTTCTATCTGAAGTTTTGTGTGCTGACGTCAACAAAATAAAAATTAATTATCGCGGTTCCACGGTCGCATGTCAGCGGATCAGAAAAAAAGGCGTGCTTATAACGAATGTCAGAGGTTTTATATGGGGAACGTTAGACTACGGTACCAGATATGATAATACAGTAAACTTGGACCCTTTAGTATTTCAATTCACGTGAAAACTAGAAGCATGAATCATCGTCATATCGACTTCTAAAAGCTAGGATAGCCTGGGTACCCTTACCGGTCGGGCCCCTCACATGGGTACTGATAAGTTACCGTAGCTGAAATATTTCGTTTTTTCCTTCGTGTGCGTATAATTGCTCTCTTACACTTAAATAATTTACAAAAACTTACCAGGTCATGCATCTTTTGTTTCAATTCGTCCATGTCGTCTTCCTGAAAATTTAAGTTTCAATAATTTGATTTTTGATAACTAATACTGAAATACCTCATAATATTTATTTCTATATTTTACAGTGCAAAAATTGGTGTTCTTATTCTGTATATAGGAATTCTGATATACATGTCGAACGATTTCATACTGTGACTGAAATATCACAGAAAAAATATTATAAAGATCGGTATTTTAAAATGTGCGATTTGCTTGAGGGTGTTTTATTAATACAAAGTTATCACTGCCGTGATGTAAATAAAAAATCCTTTCCTGGGTTTGACTTGCTTTCAGTGGAAAATCTTCATTTTCTTTCGCAATCTGAAATTGTTAATATCGAGTGTAAAATACTATGGTGATTGTTCTTGCATGCATTTCGGTTTTGTCATCTAGTCTTCAGTCGTGGCATTCGGTATTCATAGTGTAACGTAATTGTCAAGATCCGCTTTTAGCCTGTGTAGTTCAGTACTCATAAAACTGACTATATATGAGTATACATTCGATAGCATGTATATTAAGTGAATTGTCAAGAAAGTTAACTACTCATTATCGCAACCAAACTATTTATTGGAGAGTAAACTTCGGTGGCTACTATTCATCAATTAACAATTTCTTTGACTTGAAATAAAAGTCTTCAAAAATACTTCTTTACGCTGCCTATGGTATACAGACCTCGAAAATCTGAGGAGTGAACTTGTCAATCTCTTTATTTTCCATAAATACTTTGTTTACCTACAAATAAGTACAGATGGAAGTTAGGTGTATTCTGTAACCAGGTGATTTACTCGCTGATTATTACAGCAATGTAGTTGTGATGCTACATTATTGCTCAAGTCTTAGTTTACTTACCTCGCCCATCGTTCATTAGTTCCCGATGACTAGCAATTTATATATATATAACTTTGATAAGATAATTAAAAACTGTTTCTATACGTCTACACGTATATATACTATTTATTTAAATATTCATTATTTCACTGTGTCAATATCGATCGATATAAGTACGGTATAAGTTTTTCAGAATGTATAAAATCATTCAAAGATCTATTACTGGCTTCATTCATAAACGAGCACTGTCGCAATCCCCTGCTAACATAGCCCGTGTTTATGAAATTCGCACTCTATAATAATATTTCCCTGTGCGTGTCTGTTTGCTATATTGCAATGAATATTCCATCGTATAATTTATCAAAATTTCTCACAATAAAACCAAATACATATGGTTGTTACCGCCTACAAAAAGTGGACAGCCATTGTAAAATTTATTACACGAAATTTGCTATTTATGATGGCTCCCAAATACCATTAGTTCGTACTGGTTTGCTTCGCTTGAATAAATTCTGTTATATTTTTTGTTGAGTTTGCTCGTGCCGTTACTGATGAGTAATTGCGGATCTCGGCGTTTATAAAGGCCATTGTTTACAGCACAAATACTGGTTTGTTGAGTCCTAAAAACCGACGAGGACCCACTGTGTACATAGTTCCATTTACATGACGATATAAAATGAAACACAGAAGACCATTCAATAGATACATGACTACTGACCAGCGTTTTGATACCAACAACGATAAATTGCATGGTGTGAATTATGCGATGCGCCCTACAAATACTATGTACTAGCATAGCAAAGCATTCCTGTATATTTTACGACTTTCAATATTTAAAAAATCGATGCGCGGTTCTCTAATAAAGTATCGCCGGTAAATCTGAAATATATCCAACTGTACACAGATAAAATCTCTGACTTAAGAATACCGAGTCTCCTAATTACACTGCGGTTCCTCAATATAAAGAGCAACACCTATTAATCATTGATCAATTTTAAAATTATGACAGTCTTGTTTCTTGAATAACTTCTTGAAATGTGTAGCAACTTGCACCGATGTGCTATTCAAACACTTCAGTTATATCTTTCTGTCCGCAACAAAAGCCCCTGTTTTTTTTTCGCGCGGTGATTCACCCTGATCTTATCGTTTGCAATATACCCAGGTGTTGCAATCTAGCGTTTACTTAAATGTGTATAAACTGATCATTGGCTGAGAATATTAATTTTAACTACACTGTCGTTCCTCGGCGGGAATAATATCTTATTTTAAATATTAAATAAAAATATGTTATGGAAATAGTATCTTGTCGAATTTCCTTTAAATAACTGCTAGAAATTTATCACCGTCATAAGCGATTATATAGGTTACATGGGGTGTCGCAACTTCATACACATTAATAATAGACAAACGAGTACACAAATCATTTCTATTGTATTTCTGCGAACAAAACCCTCCGGGTTTTTATGCCCAGTGATACACCGTCATTGGACGGTCTTTCCGCGAGCATAGCAAAATGATATTCAAGTTAACATAAATATTTAAAAATGTCAGTTATTTTATAAACTTTTTCGGCATGGGCTTGGACTACAACGGTCATATCAATTATATCTTTCTGTCCGCAACAAAAGCCCCCGTTTTTATCGCGCGGTGATTCACCCTGATCTTATTGTTTTTGTTTGCAATATACCCAGGTGTTGCAATCTAGCTTTTACTTAAATGTGTATAAACTGATCATTGGCTGAGAATAATAATGTTAACTACACTGTCGTGCCTCGGCGGGAATAATATCATATACTAAATAAAAATACGTTATGAAAATAGTATATATCTTGTCGAATTTCCTTTAACATAAACACATACAAAATAAGAACCAGATTGTGGTTTTATTAAAAAAAAAAATGCGGAACAATTAAGAACATGCAAAAGAAGAAAATGTATAAGAAAATATTATGTGGATAAAAGACTGCTATACACTCTAAACCCAATATTGCACTTTGTTATGCCAATCATACCAATGATTATTGGTTTCATTCCCTATGCATAAGTATTCATCGCAGTATCTGCATTTGAACGTAGTTTTGCATTGTTTGGGCAACTCTTTGTCTTTAGCGGCAGGATTGGACTTTCTTGCAATTTTGTAAATTTTGCGGCATACGACACATCTGTTATTAGTGCTGGCTTTTTTCGGTTTATACACATCGTGGCGTACGTTTACTCGAAGTCTTTTCATATCTGTCAATTCCTCATTCTGTTTAACAATCTTGCATTTTTTGTCGTTAACATTTTGCTCCCTCCAGCGAGCTCTTCAAACAATTGTTCTAGAAAATTGTGAAAAGTGAATACTCTTTTTCCTCTTATGTTATGAGGCCTAACAAAATTCATTAACACGTACGAGTTGTATGTCGCCCACGCAAAAAACTTCATAACGAGTCCTCTCGGCCATTTGTAGTGCAGTCTGCATTTTTGCAGGAGTCATTTAGTCATTTTTGTCTGTCCCTCCCATGAAGGAATTGTACGCTAACCGCTGCTGGACATATAATATCGACTCTTTTTCGTTGAGCTGGCTCGTATCTTTGAACTCGCGTGTTCGGCGAATCTAAAAATGCCGTTGTAATAAAATATATTGTTTTTTTGTCTTGCCATGCAATGGCATCAACACTCCAGTTGTACAATTAGTCCGATTCTCCTTTACCCATTTCATTGTTTCGTTTTATAATCATTTTGGGGGAAGTGTTTCCTATCGGTCATGGTTGTACCGCATATTCTAGTAACTTTCTGACAAAACAAGTAGTCTGCGAGTCTAACGGATGTATAAAAACGGTCCATATATATTATGTGATTTGACCATAAAACGGTTCACTTAATCGTACGACCAAGTTACCGGTTACTCCCTAACTCAGTATACAGTTATTGTCTTGACTTGCTTCGCCTAATATTCGTACAATCTGATATTTTGATCTGAAGAGCAGACAAGTATTTATTTTGGTTGATATTTGAACAAATATCTGACTGAATAATACTGATGAATAATGAATAAAATACTGATGAATGAATAAAACATTTTCCATGGAAATTTTATGAGACGAAATTGACGATATAAACTTCACTTCTCCATTACTGCATGCGTTACTCGACGTCGGTGCTTCAATCATATCGAAACTGGGCGACCGATGCCCCGCTGAGAACGTCGTCGTGAAAGTTATCTTGCGCATTTTGCCACGCAATACGTTTCGAACGTACGTATCAACATCTTCATGACTTTAGCCACGTGATTGGCTTTTGCGTAATCAGTGCGCCATGACCGCGTATCGAAGTTGTTCACCCGACAATGATACACAATTGAATATTTAAATATAAAATTATTTATACGGCAGCCACGATAATAATTCGAATATCAACAAAAAGCCTATGAAGAACTCTTTATGAATATCAATTATTGGCTGTATATTTTGTACCAAAATAACAAAATTTGGAGCCATAACTCACTTACATGCAAAAAAATCGCTGTTAGATTAGAGTCAATTTTATTGTTTTTGACAAAATGTATTTCGAAAGGGAAAATACATTCTGAATGCACGATAAAATTTTCTTTCGATTGAAATGTCACACAACGTGCTACCTAAATTTGATAAAAAGTTATAGGCGTGCCAAATAGCCAATATTTAGAATTATTTTATTGTTCTACCAATACGGCGCCGCGAACCTTCAGGGGGAGCGAGTAACTTCGCTCAGAGACGTCAGAGTTCAAAGAGTTAATAACTTCTACAAACTTATCACCGTCATCCGCGATTATATAGGCTACACGGGGTGTCGCAACTTCATACACATTAACAAGAGTACGCGAATCATTAGGCTTCCCGCTGCTTGTCAGCAGGGAACCTATTGTATTCCTGTGTTTTATTATTATTATTATTATTTATTAGGCTTCCCGCTGCTTGTCAGCAGGGAACCTATTGTATTCCTGTGTTTTATTATTATTATTAGGCTTCCCGCTGCTTGTCAGCAGGGAACCTATTGTATTCCTGTGTTTTATTATTATTATTTATTAGGCTTCCCGCTGCTTGTCAGCAGGGAACCTATTGTATTCCTGTGTTTTATTATTATTATTATTTATTTATTATTATTATTTATTTTTATTATTTTTTTTTCAAATTGATCCTACAAATTTGAAATTCACCTCAAATGTGCAGAAGTTCTCAGCTAGCAATAAAATGCAAATTTTATGCATGACTGACCACGCTTTCACGCTCCAGTGAGCAAAACGCGTTTTCAGTTTTTTTGCGATTTCTCAAAATTGATACATGTTATTGGGTTGCAATTCATAACAATGATTAATGGACATGTTCCGGATACGACATATCAAGGATACGCATGAGTGACCTCGGCGATACGCTCCAGTGATCAATATAGGATTTTACATTTTCATCTTCTTCTCGAGAACGACACTACTTAGAGACTTGAAATTTACATCACGAGCAGATAATAAGTCCCCCATCATGAATTGCAAATTTTATGCATGACTGACCACGCTTTCACGCTCCAGTGAGCAAAACGCGTCTTCAGTTTTTTTGCGATTTCTCAAAATTGATACATGGTATTGGGTTGAAATTCATAACAATGATTAATGGACATGTTCCGGATACAATATGTCAAGGATACGCATGAGAGACCTCGGCGATACGCTCCAGTGAGCGGTATAGGATTTTACATTTTCATCTTCTTCTCGAGAACGACACTACTTCGAGACTTGAAATTTACATCACATGCAGATAATGAATTCCCCATCATAAACTGCAAATTTCATGCATGACTGACCACGCTTTCACGCTCCAGTGAGCAAAACGCGTCTTCAGTTTTTTTTACGCGGGAAGCCTGTTAAAGCTGCACGCAGCTCTAGTTTCTATTGTATTTCTGCGAATAAAACCCCCAGTGATACACCGTCATTAAACGGTCTTTCCGCGAGCATGGCAAAATGATATTCAAGTTGACATAAATATTTAAAAATTTCAGTTATTTTATAAACTTTTCCGGCGTGTGCTTGGACTACTCCACAAAGAGCTGCTATGTATATAACGGACTTGCTCCATATCCGGAGCGGGAAAGTGTTTGTCCGAGTATTGGGAATTTTTACAAGTATCATTGGGGGTGGAGCAGTGCCTCCGTCCCTCAGTGAGAAAACGCGTGAAAAGCCACGTCCACTCAGCTATTATTGATTTTGGACGGTTCAGGGCACTTGGAATAAGATTTCGGGCAAATCGATACTTAAATCTCGAAAAGAATAATTATTCGAAGATTTCACCACCGGAAATTTGGGATTTCCCCTCCCTGTAACGCTCCAAAGAGTTCGGAATGTTGCGCTACGCAGGATAAAGATATTGAGAAATGAAGTGCATAGGTACGTTCGGAATAATTAGGTAAATGCTTTTTTCAAGATTTTTTTTCACCTAACCCCAGTCACGCTCCATTGATTTTGACTTATTGTGGGTCTCTGAGAGGTGCTATCAAGAATCTAATGACATGGGCATGTTTGAAAAATGAATTGAATCGTTTTTAGGCAGCCCCAACCAATCACGCGCAGGTGATTTTTAGTCATATCTCGAGAATGGTGATAGATAGAGATGTCATATTTGGGTTACAAAGGTAATTGAAGTGAAGTTTATGACAAAAAATTATCGTCACGGTTGAGTGATCACGGACCTTGAAATTAATGATTATCGACTTTCATTTGGGATGATCGATCAATTTATGACGGTTTTTTGTAGTACGTAATGGACTATCGGTGTCGGGGGCAGTGCGCCGAACAATTTTCGTCATTCGTCTGGAGCAACGACCCGGGTGCGTCAATCGAACCCAAACGAGCGGCCGTTGTTTACTTTACTGAACAAGTTTCCCTAAATCTCCCCCTTGGGGGTAGCGTAGCGACCGTCCCTTGGATTATAGGACAGCTACGCGAGATGTGGACTTTCAGTATAGTGCAACGTTCCATGTTGAGACTATTTCATCAAAAGATTTCCGAATGTCTCTAGAGTGACTGAAAAGTGGTGATAAACGTACCATGGTCCATCTGTGCAGAGTTTGCTATATAAATTCTCGAAATAAAAAGTAAACCGCGATGATAGTATTAAATTATAAGAAATACAAATACAGCCGAGAGCGATGAAAAAACAGAAAGAGCGAGATGACAAAAAAGAAAAAAGTCATACAAAAAATGAAGTGAGAAACTATAACTTGGCACACCACGATACAGCTATTTGGAAAGGTCCGTTAGAGTAGACGCATGTCGATTGCTTAATTAGGACTAGGCTCGACCGATACTGCCTTTTTAAACCGATACCGATGGTTTTCTAAAAGTAGGGAGCTAAGCCGATACCGATGTTTCCTCACCTACAAATATGGATACAGTAACAAGCAATACTGTGTTGAATACAAGAATATTGTGTTTTCTTGCAAAAGAAATGAAATGTCGAACTCATGCAATTGTGAGCGTGGCAAGAAAGAACACGTATTGTAGGGGCAGAAAGCTTATTAATCCCAATAGCTACAGTTCAGCAGTCTCAGATGTAGTTGAGCAGAGTTTTTCTGCATTGGCTTCAATGCCTTTCTGCATTGGCTCCAATCATACTTGCTCTTGTGTTTTGCTTCGAGATGGCTCTACAAATTGCTGGTGATTTTTTTTTAAATCGGCGGAACCCTTTGACTTAATAATGATAAGCGTATTTTACAAATCACGCCATCATTATGACACACCAAGTATTCCCATACTTTGCTCTTACCGCTAGAACCAACCATATATAACATATCAATACAAGAAGTTAAGTCGCGCCTTGAACGACGGAAGCGCAAGGGAAATCCAAGGCTGTGGAAAGTGAAAACGGCGAGAATTCTTAATTCATCAAGGTATATTATTTGACACAAATAAGTTGTTCACATGTATCTCTCGCTTCAATTTGCAAGGACACCACGCTCGCAAACTCGCTTACAAATAGTTAAATCCCGTGCCCTACGTCCGTTTTGGATAAGAGAAACATAGTCAAAAGAATTCTTTATTAAAGAGTTCCTGTCTCAACTTATGCAGACGCGACGGCGCAGAAGCGCTGGACCGTATTCGCTCGATTATTTCGTCAGCTTCTAAGTCATACACATTTCCGCGGCCATTTTTGATGTCCCATTTAGTTTGACTATCTAAACAAGTAATCAACATATGCTTTCTCAATTCTTGTGACATATCCACGCCGGTGCAATAAGAATCGGATCCCCTCATAAATCCGTCGAAATCACCCCCCTGAGGGAATCGTGGAAGTGCCATTAAAAAATTCATATCGTTTCGTTATACTTGTATCGATAATTCTCACAAATTATCGTCCTGGCGTGCTTGCCAATTTTGTCGCAGCTTTTTCTTCCTATACTTTTTAAAACATCTGCCACGATAAAACAGAAGATCCGAGGCCCGACTGCGGTTTATTCTTATTTTAAAACAGCAATAAGTCAACTTAAAGTGAAATAAGTTCAACATAAACTGCTCACACGAAACTCGACTCTGTGTCACCGCCCAGAACGTGGCAGACGATGCGTTCTCATCCTCGCATTCGGGGTTAATCATTACGAAACACAGCAATAGAAAATCATTACTTAACACAGCAATAACAAATTACAAAAACAAAGAATCATGAACACGCGGAAAAAATACTATCACACTTGCACGCACCGAGGCATATCCTGTTCACTAGAGGCTACCAGATGACGCTAATTCGCCATCTACACGAAATAAATCAAAATGGGTTTTCTCACTATTCTGTTCATGATTCTGTATTTTGAGATGATTGTTTTTAATAAATTGTTTCTTCGTTATACTGCTTAAACCTAGCAATAAGGTGTCGCTGACTGGATGACTCACCGAGTCTTTTGCGACCCCTCATCACTTGCTAGATTCAATGTTTTCAGTTTTTGTTTGGTGTTTTTCTATGCGTGTTTATTGTTTTACATTGATTCTTGCACGATGAAAATAAAGATCTAAATCTGAATGTAATATACTAGGTGCTGTTCCTGCAAGATGTTCATTTCGAACTTGTTTAAAAGTATAATTCTATGAACCATGTTTAAAAGTATAATTCATTTTTGATGTAATGGGTGTTTTTTATTACATTGCTGGAAAATTATGTCATCGTCAAAGTATTTTTAATTTCAATTGTGTTGTATGTTCACTCGAAAGAATTTTTTCAAGATTTATTTCACAGATAGGCTAATCGGATAAAGTTAGTATCAAATAATTTCCGTTAGAATTGCCGTCTGTTTATATTCAAGGTATAACTGCATGTTCGTGAGTTTCTTTAAATGGAAAATCAATGCTATGTTTTGTCTTGATGCATGTTTATTGTAATTCGTTTACTTACACCATATATATAAGGTAAACTGTGAATGAACCTAGTTTCAGACCTAATCACAAAGTATGAGTATGAGAGTTGCTACAACATTTATAGCACTGCTTTATAATAACACTTGCCTTTAGATTCTCAGCTGTGATGTTTCTGTTTAACGTACTTTATGCAAGATAATTTGACACGCTTGTCAAACGAACATTCATAACGATCTCAGCAGTACTCCATTTTGTTTTGTTGTTCAATAGTGACTGTGCACATAAGGAATTAAATAAACTCTCAGTTATAAGCATCTATCTAATACGCATAGGTTCTGGACGAGTGATTTCCGACATATTCCTCGATAGAGAACTGTGTCTGGATTACTAAACCATTTAGTTTTGTAAAAATGAAAAACATTTCAGAATAATTTGAATAGCATTAGGCTACTTTCATTTAATAAAAAAATTTCTATTGTATTTGGCTCCTTTCGTTTTTGATTTTCGTTTTTTTTTTACTTTTATCTTTGTCGTCATTTCTACGTGGCATTTACCATCAACTTAACATGACATCTTTTGGTATTTACACCAAGAAATTCTATCTTACCATTTTACCAATTGGTAATGATTTATATGTATATATTTGGAACGATATTCAAGGTAAGATTAAGGATGGATGAATTCCTTCAATTTTAGACCTCAACATTCTAGGTGTATTGTTTCATTGGAAAACCAGTAAATCTAATCAACTTGCCAATAATGGTAACAATGCGCGGTTGTATAATCTAAATTACCCGTAGGAAGATCAACAGACACAAGTGTCTCAAAACTATTTTCAAATTATAATGTGATATTGCATTTACAAAATAGAATAGAAAAAATAAATAGGTGATAGAAACGCAGATGAATATAAAACGTTCGAATAAATAAGTTATATAAGAGCGTAAAGTAATATAAAAATGATACAATTTGATTCTTCAAGACATTTCAAGATGTCGACGGTGTAAACTTTCAACCTTGATGGTGATGAGGTCCACAGACTGAAATGAGAGGATATAATACATGTGGAAAAATACAACACTGTTTTCGGCCTCCAGGTGAAATGGGTTTTTGAAAAACGCATTTTTGAGAAAATCGGTGGACCATTAGCAAAATGGTCGTTTAGTGAGCCATGGAATATATTCCGTATTCTGTGCTCGTAAATGTTGCGTACACTCTTGTATGAAGAGATACTGCAAACATTTTTGTGCTTTATTTGTCATCTCTGTATTTTCAATTTTCAATCAAATAACGGGCATCGACCCAAGATGATCTTCTGTTAGATTTAAGGTGCGAAGATGGTGCCATTAGGAGCCATCTACAGAGATAATTCCAACAACAAACATTCATTTCTGGATAACGTGAGAGAATCAGGTGACTCATAATTTCCTCATCCAAGATTCTTCCCAGTGAACGTATCTTTACGCTGCTACAACACGACAGACTTTTGCATGCTGGCAAAAGGTCGTATACTCATTCACAGGTCACTTTTGATATCAATAAAATTCTTTCTTTGGAGAATTAGTTTTCCTAGAATTCTAATATCTGCTTTCGTTTTATCCCCGGAATGTCTTTTTGCGTTTGTGTTCATAGATTTGACCGCCATTATTCTCAGAATTCCGCTTCTGCCGCCACCGACATGTAGCAGCTTTGTTCCAGATAAAGCTTCGCGTAAGTTCCGATCCTTGCAAGCTTCTGGACGTCTGCTGGACGTATTGTTTTCTATCAGGGGCGCCAAGCAGTGCCTGAGCGGTGGTACAGGACTGTGTCGACTGTCTGGAACCGCTTTGCACTGTGGCGGCATTTCCTCCGGCACTAGTTCACTATAATGGAGAAAATAATATTTGCTGTATTTTTATAGGTTATGGAGAAAATAAATAATATTTGCTGTATTTTTTTATAGGTTATGAGAAATATAGGAGTTGATTGTAGTAATGCTGAGTTTCGCGTTGCATTTCTAAGCTTTTTATAAATTGTTTGATTTTATTATTTTTTTTAATCAGAGTTGTGGATACACAATGTCGAATAAAATACTTACGCCTGACAGCAATACAAAGTGTGGGGAGCCAGACAAATACAAGATCTGCACGTTGCTGGATCGAATATATGTTGCATAAACGTGTAATTCTTTCCATTATAATTGCAAAAATCTTCACCATCAATAGAACGCACAAGACGACCAGCTGAAATTAACAGAACATTTTATTTATAAGAAAAATACTCTTTGGAAAAATATTTAATACTACAAATTATTGCAGCATATTTATTTGATTCAATATCAACCATGACTAATAAGTATATATTTATCATTTAGGATGTCATAATATGCAACCCCAAATTTGCAATATATAAAATATATTATACCAAAGCAAGGTTAAATCAAATTCCGAACGTAAATTAAACCGTTTACAAAGATTAAATAGTGAATTTTATCTACTTTCATTTAGCTACTTTCATATATATCGAAGATAAAAAACTATTTATGTTTTTAAATCGCCGTTATAGTAGCGCATTGATAGGCATTATATCTCGGTTCTTAACTGGCAAATTTTAATTTTAGAAATGTCTCACCAACTTCATGTAAATTAAATAAATAATTTGAGCACATGCATTTGTTGTTTACATAAATAAAACACCTACGTGGGTATTATGCAAAACAAGGATCTCACCTTGAAGATTGTCAAAACAAAGTCGTAGATCGTGTTTTATTAAAAATATCGATGAAGCTTCTTTCGGTTTTCGTAAACTGTAACCGTTCGCAAATAATATCAATCCATTACAAATCAATAGCAAAGTGAAACAAGTATTGCAATATGATTTCATATTGGTTATCTTCATAAAACTATTTCTAAATTATTCTAAAATACGAAATACTGTATTAATTATATGACACATTAGGATTAAGTATAATATTGAAAAAATTTAATGAAGGAGAATGACCAAGAGAAAAATCTTCTGAACAAAATCAGATAATTGAAGCCAAGAAACGTTTTTGACTATCTGGATGGATAAGAAACCTGATTTTGATTCCTAATCCTTTATCCCTAACCCTACCCCGATGGTACACCCTGCCTACATAAATACAACTGTAGAATGAGCCAGTCTTCGGCAAGGACTGAATAGTTTTGACTTCAATCATTCACCTAATGCTCGTTTTTCTCATTTGAGGTTGACGTATTTTTTCTCATCTTTCTACATTCACTTTTTTTGCGAAAAATTAATAATCTATTTTGAGTTGAATGATGTAATGCAAATCATTTATTATTTAAATAACAAGCCACGATTCAAGAGCTCCTACACGCAAATAAAAAGCACGAAAATGAATAATAATGGTTCATTGTCAGGAAGTGGAATATTAACCTAACCTCGAACTTATATTTTGTCGCGATTTAATATGTTCTCTTTTATCCTGAAGGTTGGTTGTAATGAACAATGTTTAGGACGTGACGTTATGCTCTGTCATAAACACATAAGCAAGCTCAATAAAGGATGGCACTCGTGGATGCCTGTGTGTGCCACATAAGCATTACGCTGGTCGCACTAATCCTTTGTATATGAAACAGTAGTTATCTTTATACAATTTGCTTTAACGGCCATCTTGATGTCTGACTTGACTGACGGGCATCACAATGAATTAGTTGTACTAAATTCATTGTGAAAATTACATAAAAGAAACTGAAGTCGTTTCAAGAATGATTTACTAACAAGGTCAGGAAGGCACTATTTGTCTATTTTTTGTGTAGTTTTATAAATATTTACGGACGAATTGGATTTTAATGATGTAATGATTTAAAAAGATGTTTTCGTAGAAATCCCGGAATCACCCACCTGGCGTTTTATTTTTGTCGAATGAGATTAAAAGTATTTCAATGATGAACAAAAAGATTGTTTTAGAACATGAAACATTGGGCAATTTAGTTAGCCTACAACATCTTATGCAAATCACCGTGTAAATTACTCTTTTTCGATTACCATTGTTTTAAAAATAGTACATAAAATTACATTACAGAATTTTATCAGACTCGATAAAAATCGAGCTTTTTATAACAGTTTCATACTTGCTAGTACACACTGTAATGTTTCCCTCGAAAAGCCTGATATGTACGAAGATAAGAACAAAATATAAACTTGTCGTTTTTGCGTTATAGTCGAATATATAGTATTGAACGTCGGATTTTTATGCGATAAAATATCATTTTTTCGACTGAAAATTTGTAGCACGTCTGAGAATAACGCTTTAATGTGGTAGCCTCAAATAGAATCGACACACCCATCATGTCGCGTGCCAGAAGCTGTTTAAACAGATATTATCGCACGTAAATCTTCCATGATCGTATTGTTATCATACAGAACATACACACCACATTCTTATATGCAATATTGTACGGTATTTATCATATATATACTTACCATTTATATTTAAAAAGAAACATGGAACAAAAATTGTTACAAAAAGTTAAAGTAATTAAGGTTTTCAAAGTCTTTAACCAGTAATGGATATTTCTTAAATGGAAAATGTTAAAGTGAAATAACTCTTAATATTTACATATATTTAGATAATTCATGATTTTCAAACATTAAATGCTAAATCTCCGAGTATAAAAAATGGTTGCTGTTCAGCTATAAAGACAATATCTGAAATACTTTCTAATTGTAAATAGTACTCGTTACTTGTATCAAGTAAGTGGAATAAATGGTTTCGAATGTAAATGTTGGTATCCACTTATTCTAGTCAACCAAATTAGTAAGAAAAATATCGAGTAAGAATGGCCTGTAAGAATATTAAATCCATGAATTCTAATTTTGGCTAATAATTTAACGCATATACGAAAATAGAATATAAACCCTTTAACTCAATCAATCTGAGATAATCTGTGAAAATATTAATCTCTCAAGTTTTTAATCACACGTTTAAATCATCTTTTCCACGCTTCCGACCGCTACAAGGATATATCGTCATCTTTTATTACATAATATAACAAGCAAACACAGTCATTAGTTTTTGTATGAGTCATCCCAAAAAATAAACAGATTACCTGTATAGCATATTATGTACAAATCGATCGGGTATAACAACAGATGTTTTATCATTTGAGATTGGGTTGTAATCAGACAATCAACTCTTCCGCTTAGCGGATGCCCGACCAGTTTATTCTTGGTCGATCTCATTAATAAAATATTAATTGAGTACTGCTCGCCGTAGCTAAGAAATGAAGCATTTGCTCCGTAGGCGAAAAGTTGATAAGATAATTACAACAGATATCAGTTTATATATATTCATTGAAAAGTTGTAATTGATTGTAACAATTGCGTACTTTTTACCAATAAACGGCATATTTCATTGATATTTTCTGATTTCCTATCTGCGTAGATTTTTCATTCTGTACTGGTAACACTATGGGTATTTCCTTGCAAATAATTCGTTTTTTTGAAAATTTATTCAGGAATAATTTCTTGCGATTTGGAACCAAACTCGACTAACAATAGGCTAGGAATTGTTTCAACGCCATCGAAAAAATGAAGCATACGTTATGTGGCTCAATCTCGCGTCAGAAGCGATTTAATCCGTAAAAAATTGCGTATTTACGTCACGGTGAAACTTCACGCGTACAGAGAATGCGTGGGGATTTTACATAACCTTTCACGACATCCTTCACGCCCCATAAATTTATAAGTATTTCATTTTTAAACGTGAGCTATTATGAACTTTTTGATATCTTTCCGTATCAGTAATCATATTTTCAGTGGAAATGTAAATTGATTCCAATATACGTTTTACGTCAAAAAAAAAAAATAGAATATTAACAAGTTATAAAATAACCATTATCTTTAACAGGTATTTAAAAAAAAAGATACGTTTTTAAAACTACCGAACCATACTTCACTGAAATTATTGTTTTAAGCATGCGAGGATACCATCATAAAATATTATCAAATAAGAAAATAAATGATTATAAACACTAAATACAGTCAAACCACCAAAGGAAACTATCATCATCACAAACCCTTTATATAGACTCCCAAATTTGTTGTGACATGTCATTACTTTACTGCGAAATCTGACACGCGGTCAAATCATTCCGAGCCCCAAATATTGATAGATAAAACATGAAATATTTCGTAAATTGACGTAATTTCTCCCACAATTACCAATGAAACTATAGCAAAATTAGGCGCATTATATATATATGACATTTTAGGAAAAAAACTTTTCGATTATTGGGAATTTCTGTGACGCTTGGGCTTGTGATAGTCAGATAGAAACCCCTCTGTTTTTATAGCTTCGAGCTATACTAATTTTCCTAAAGGGAAAAAAACTATAATTCAGTGCATTGACAGTGAATCGGCTGATTTTCATAGTCATTGGGTTTTAACGTTTGTATCTAGTTTTGCCATCAAAATTCTTTTCAAGTTGACGTAAGCGTAAGAATCACGGTGGGCCGAGATACATATTGTAACATAGGCGGCATTGTCGTTTCCGAGCACCTTGCTCAATAAGTTGACAATTTACGGTTGATAACCCTGATTAAATTCCGTTCAACAAGACAATAAAGTTCAACTGGTGGCGTGAAATCTACATTATCTGTTTAACTATTACGTTATAGTTTACATGTCTGCAACTGCAGGAACGTCCATCATGATTAACTAACCAAATGTAAGATAGATCCACTTTTTATTTGTTGATATTTTAACGTCGCGTAGACACAATCTTTCACTAGTTTGAGAACCTCGAAAATTTAATTAGTGTTTTATTCCTGAAATTATTCAGTCTCGCTTCAATTCAAAACGATACTATTTATTATTCGAGGTAAAATATGCGTAACAATTTATTTGATGTTAAAGAAATCATTACTCGATGTATATATATACATTATATACTTCAAATTTTATAAATTGTTTGTTACTCGTTCTGATACGTTTAGATTCAGTATTGAATTAAATTCAGTTTGAATATAAGATCAAACCGAAAATGCGTCTGTTTTATAAATTGTTATGAACCGAACTCGGGTACGTTAAGTTCACATAAATGGGGTGGATGCGGATGCGATGGGGTGGACCTGCATACCACGAATTGCTCACGTCACGCCATCACCTCAAAACGTTCAATGTATTGTAAAGTTTGAACTGAAAAGAGTAATTATTTATTATGTCGTTTAGCGAGTATGTCAAATAATTTGACATAACTAAAATTTTTGTCGCAACCTGATCTGGCAAATCAGACAAGCCGTCTCGTCTTCCTACGATGCTAGATCATGTGGTTCGTCAACATGTCATCCATAAACTGTAGCCGGGTTAAAGGTTTATGATAATCCGGAAGATACATTTAAGCAAAACAAGGCGTGTTAGCTGATCGGAAAAAATTATTCAAAATTGTTCGTTTTGATAAAAGTCAAGCGTACAGATTTGATCATTTTGCCTGTTCAAATTTGAAACGGAAATACCTACGCAAATCAACCATACTTTTTAAAGTGGAATACCAAGGATACCACTCACACCCCTGTGAACTGTGTTATAGACACGTAAAATGAGTCAGCCGCCAGTCGCCAGGCAACCCCGCAATAATTTATCGCCAAATGTTTTCAATTTTAAAGTGATATACGGTCAAATTTCGTTGAATCATTTCCTTCTTTATCTTGTTCTAAAACTTTGCTTAAATGTTGTTTTGTAATTTGCAGTATTTAAATCATTTTGTAATCCTTGAACTTGTACACTCTATGATATTCATATAAAATTGATGGGGATTTATTACAAATTTACTTTTTAATTGCAAGAGAATATCTTTATATTTATAGCAGTGCAATAACATTTTTAGTTGAAATGTTTGCTGC